CAAAAACGGTTACATTATCACTCCTCTTTCTGTCCTGGCCTATCTATCTACTCTTTACCCATGTTTTGACGAGGTCAACCCACTTCTATGAATCAAAAGGAGACTGCGACCATACCAGAGGCCACAACATCTTGGTCTTCATATTTTCAATGGAACAGTATTGTCTAGAAATCTGCTATGAATGGCTTGATTTAAATCACGTCAAGACCTCTCTCGCTCCCGCTCTAGGTTAATAATGTAGTTATTCTCGTAGATATGTGTCGAGAAAACGAGTTCTATCCACATTTGTAGGGCAAAATGAGAGAGTGACAAAACAAAGCGCCACACCATCTTGGACTTTATAGTTAAAAAGGAATGTTGCTTTGTCGAAATGATCGTATATTTGAGCCTAGTTATCCAAAAGACACTGTCCACTTACCGGAAACATGTGGGAAGCCACTCTTTAACAAAACTATCAAAATGGAACTCAAGCCAAAGTCCATCACTCTAATCCTTTCAAGACTCCCTGTTAACTTTAATCAAGTTCAGGTCGTCTAGAGATGCTGGTATTACGCAACCAAACAGATTTGTTATTAATGAAACACAGTCGTTAGGACATGGGTCGGGTCACTTGTAGGAGAATAAGAATATGCGAAGAAAAGTTGGGGTTTCCAAGAATCTTTTGGTTCATATTTGATTAGCTTACTTACATTTCGGTAAAAAGATTCCAACCAGAAGACGACGACGTTCTAGTTGACGCTGTTTCCGAAGAAGTCTCTTCAGATTTCGGTGAAAAAGTGTTAAGCTTTCGCTTGTTGAATGATGGATATCATCGAGGCAGCGTTTTATCCTTACAATCATATTCAAGCTGACGAATCAAGAATTTGCTGGAATGATGATACCCTGCTTTGCTGATGGCCGTCATTCGACAGACGAAGGCTTGATACGTTTTTACCGAAATCGGAGGAGATTGCTCGGAAACAGCGCCATCAAGAATGTTCCAGTAAAGCCAAGTGACAGCTGGTCAAGAGGTACCCGCCGTCATCTTCTAGTGGGATCGACCTCAGAATATCTTCACAAAAAACACTTTCACTCGAAATGGAAGTAAGCTCAGCAATAGAAGAATACTTCGTTGTGATCTACACGACCGCCTCAATTACAACACCAAACTTATTCCGCTTGAACTATCTTTCACAAACAAATTTGAGCGTATTATTGCTATTTTTGTTGGAAGAATAGGTTTGATTTGCAAACTTTAGGAGAGAAGGTACCGAATTAGTCGGCTCGGGGAGGATTTGAACCATATTCACATTCTGTCAACATGTTCGTTAAGTCCATCATCTCACCCAGATTTACGTCTGGAATTACGAAATTACAGTCATTAAACATTGATGGCCCTGGACTCATGAATTATGAAATACGTCTTTTTCTATGACCTACAAATCTACGAAAAAAAGCACACAGAAATATAATCAAGTTTTGAGGAGCTGAAACCAACATAAAAATGGATTAAAAATTAATTATACATATATAGATAGATATATAGATAGATAGGTAAATAGATAGATAGATAAATAGATAGGTAGGTAGGTAGATAAGTAGATAGGTAGATAGATAGGTAGGTAGGTAGATAAAAAGATAGATTGAAAAATAGAAATATATATATATATAAGTATATAGGTAGATAGATAGGTAGATAGATAGGTAGGTAGGTAGATAGAAAGATATATAGAAAGATAGATAGATAGAAAGAAAGAAAGAAAGAAAGAAAGAAAGAAAGAAAGAAAGAAAGAAA